AAATACCTGCCGTTTTCAGGTTGGCACACTGAAAAGAACAGTTGCCAGGTAACTTTAAATAGTAAATATTTCTAAATAATTAAATTGTTAAATTATTAATCAACTTCCAAACCAACACACACAAGCAAACTGAAACTCAATCAACTTACAACAACATCAACAAGCAAATAATAGTCCCTTATTTGTATATCCAATCAACGGAAATATGAAATTGAGAGAAAGAAAATGATTTTCTTTTTAACCTTCCTCTTTCTACAATTTTCAAATTGTTAATTAATTAGAGGTCATAATTACTGATAAATTAGCCAATTCTTCAACAAATTTGTCTCTTTCTCTTCTTTTAATGTGACAATTTGTTAATCACCATCGTCATTTTTTCTGGTCAACATTAAACTGTGGTCAATGAAGTTGATAAGTTGGTCAAGCAAGGACTCGGCTTTTGGTTTCAAGTTTCGTAGTGAAAAAAATTATGATTAAGATGAGGTTAGTTGATTTTGTTTACGCAATTTCAATTTACTAATTGTTTCCAATTTTTTCTCTTAATTTAGACTGGTTGTCACATTCTACAATTATGGTTGATCAAATGTGCCAAATTAATTCATGTTAAGAAGCTGGTTAAAAGTGGATTAACCAGATAATCTGAGTTACCACCTAAATTAAACTAATTACCTGGAAAATGAATTGATGGTCTTCTAAAAGTAAAATTTTGACAATTGGACAAATTCACATCACAATAACAACAACAATAATTGACAGAAAAGGGCAATTGATTATTATGCTCACATCATCAAGATTATCACATTGAGAAGGGGAAATAACAACAACAACTGATTACCGGAAACAAGAAAAAAAAACCAACAATTAAATTACTCGACTCACATACAAGTGTGAATGTGAAAATTAAATGTAGATTAAAAAAATATTGTCCTAAATTGTATTTAATCATACAATTGTTACGTTTTCTACCTTGATTGTAATTGTTAATATCTGACCAAAGAAAAGCTAATTAAGCAAAAATAATAATAAAGTCTGTAAAAAAAAACAATAATAAATTAAATTACTAATTTAAAGTGACAATAAATTCTTAGTTGATTAGACTTAATTGATGTTAAAGTTTTTCTGTCCCAAACAATTAACAAAAATCCACATTCAATATGAACAATTACAGATGATTAATTTTCACCTTCGCAATCAAATACATCATTTAATTACGAAATGTAAGTTACAATTTAAAATTCCCCCGTTTAATTGTTACCTGATTTTCATTTGATTGTTTAATCAATCGTAATAAGTTGTAAGTCATAACCGTGATTTAAATAATTTCAACACAATAAAGGGTTAGTGATGTGCGATTGATAGATTTTCCAATAATCGATTGTGACGCAAATTCTTCATCAAAATCGATGATCTTCGATTTCTGTCGAATAAAAAAAGACACAGGAAAAGAAAGAGAATCAGAAAAGAGGGAAACAGTTCGATGGGAGGGGAAGTTACGATGGAAAAAGAAAGAGAAAAGAAAGAGACTGAAAATCGATTTTTGGTTCGCAATCAGCGACATCGAAATTTCCTGCGATCATTGATGATAATCGTTAATTTGATGATCGAAAGCAACAACAACCGTTAGTTATTAAACGTTCAACTGTCAACCAAGTCACCTTGTCCTCCTGTATCATAGTTGTTTGTTAATTGTGATTAACCTAATTCAATGGCTTCGTTACTTGTCAAATCATCAACAGGTAAACAACGATCACCAATTAAAACGAAAGACAGTGTTGAGATAGTCCAAGAATGGGACAGTCAATTTGATAAACAATGGAACAGCATGAAAGATGATTTAGTTCAACTAAATCAATTAGCTGATAAGTTAATTGAGAACAAGGAATTGGAAAATGCTGTTTACACCGTTCTAGATGATTTCAAGATCAGTGAGAAGGTAAGATTTGATTTGATTGGTAATCGTTTTCTTGTCTGAAAATAATCAAATTTGTTTTTCTCTCTATTTTCCTGAATAGCTTTTGGAAAGTATTTGTAAATGGATTTACGCTTACAGGTCAAGTAAATGAGAAATTACATCAATATGTACTTAATTATGTTCCAAGTTTAATGTGCCTTCTATTACAATCGAGTGTAATTCCCACCGAGGGAAGGAAAAAGTACAAATGTGTCGAGGCGAGTTTACTAAATATCTATAATAAGGAGATTGTCGATGAAGAGGGAAAACCGAAAAAAGTGACCATGAGAATTCCCGATCTGAGTAAACCATCAATCTATCACAATACACCTTTGAGTACTTCGTCACCGGGACCTGCTAATCTCACCGAACAGACTTTGAAATTTTTGGAAACTTCGTTACCCGATAAGCCGATTCCAACTTTTGGACCTTACGAACAGGTTGAAAGGTTACATGCAAGTAACCGAAGTAAAACAATGACCGTTCTGGTTCGAGTTTATTATCAAAATTTAAATTATGTTAGTAAAAATTCATGGAAGGTCATGTGTAGGGTCGCATTGAAGTGAGTCCTCTTTTTTTTGTACCTGCGATTTTCATGTTTCATTTATTTTGTGCTAACGAAATGTTTTGTTTTTTTTCCAGATTGTTGAAAATGAGTGGACCAAGATCACCCTCTGAACAAGCTCATGCCCTTTCCGTTGCTAAAGCGGCCGTGGCAGCGGCAGAGAAAACACCTTCAGGCGTAATGACACTTAATGAAATGTTCGGTGTTGGTTTGGCTCGAATTCAATTGGAAAGTCCTTGGTTCGTTGAGGTGCTTCGTTGTGTCTATGTTTTCCTCTATAACGGAATAACTGACCTTGGTACGAAAGTATTACAGCAAATTCACAATCGAGCGGTCAAAGAGCTTTGGACTGATGTTTTGTTGGTCAGTACAAATTTTTGTTCGAAAATTTATTGAAAGTGATGTTCAATTGATAATAATTGTTTCTTTTTTCTATCATTTTCAGATTTCAAATGCTATGATTCATTCATTTAAAATTGACCCTAATCCAAATGCCGATACTGAACCCGATCTTTCAGGTAGTCGAAGTGATGTTCGATCGCCAATATCAACTATTCTTACTGCGACAGCTTCCAATAAAACGCCAACAACAGCGGCGACTTTTAAACCTTCAAAATTGCCTGAGGACATTCCGATCGTCGGTGGTCCAACTCCAGAATCTTCAACTGCCCCTGAATCCGATGAATCGAGAAGTGCAACTTTATCACCCGCTTCTCGACCAGCGTCTTCCATGAATAGAGATTAAATGAGCTTCATCAATTTAATTATTTCATAATCTCAATTGTCAAATAGTCTTTACAATCATAACAATTTTAACTGTTCTTTTATCAAGTGTTTTTTAATCAACTAACTTTTCTCAACTCAACTGATTAAAAAAATTTTTATTCTTTCAAAATAAACAACCAACACGAAATGTAACTTGTTTCATTGATCAATGTCCAATCCAATCGATTGGTAATTGATCATCTCAATCATCACTGAAAACTCTTAGTCGATTTACCAATTGATCAAAATTATCTCGAAAGATTTGATTGTTTAATCAGTTGCAGAAAGTCACAGACTTAGTCCATTATTATTATCATAATTATCATTTAAATCAAACAATCAAAAAGTATCTCATCTCCTTTTGAACTTTTGCTGCTTCAATCAGTAAATCAAAACAATTTATTTTTCACTCATTAATTTAAATGCATTCAGGAATAAAGAAGAATGAAAGAAAAAATTCAAATTCTGTTTGGAACATTAATTTCTTTTTTAATTCTAAATTAAATTTAGCTGAATTATTTTCTTCATTTTAAATTCTAAGGTTGAGTTTAAGGTTCGAGATTATTGATCTTTCCCTTTTCAATGTTCTCTTTCTTTTTTTCTTTCTTTTTCATTCTTTTCTATTACTCATCTGGATCAAGTGATTGTCAATATTATCCTTTTAAATTGTCGATTCTTTCACTTTTTGTGCTGATTACTTTTCTTTTTCTTCGTTAATTAAGTAAATTCTAGTAGATTAAAGTTCCAATTTTATGTCTATTAATCATTTCTTTCTTTGATTGGTTCATTTATCTTTGTTTGGTCAATTGTTTCTCTTTTGGTTTTCTCATGCAATCTCATTCTACCTGTTCTGTGTTGTTTTGTTTTCTTCTTGATTTGATTTTTGATTTATAATCTACTTTTGATTGTTTTTGCTAATCACTTAGTTGGATTAATGATCTACTTGAATATAAAATCGCATTTCAAAGGTTAAAAAAAGGATGGAAAGAAAAATGGAGACGAAGACCAATATAGATTCTTGTGAAGGAAATGGATCATCAACTTTACCTTTCTTCATGTTCATCATCATTTACAGCAACAAATTCCATTACCAGTATTACCACAGTTCCAACCTCAGCATCAGTGACAAACTGTAATACCTCAATTCCAAGTATTATTGTAAATTCAAGTTCTATTACTCATCCTGATTATAATTCATCAATTAATCGTGTAAATGATGGCCAATCTAACCCAAGTGAAGAGGATCTAAGGGAATGGACTAGAACATATCATATGAGAACTCTGAATTTACTCAATTTCCCCACCAATGCATCTTCAAATCGAGTTAGCTATCGTAGTGTTATGAATAGAGCTCGAATTGGTATTGTTACAGGCGCTGCGAAATCGCTTAATGTACTTAGACAAGCTCTTCAGAACAGTATCAATAACGAGATAAACACTATTCTACAAAAATATATTGAAAGATACTTTAGACCTTCAATGACTAATATTAAGAAAAATTTCGGTGCTAATTCAGGTAATTCATCCAAACCAACTCATATGAGAATCAACCATTGAAATTTCTTCCTACAACTTGATTAGATTTCAAAGTTCAATATTGATTATCTTTTGTATGTATTTCTTACATGGATCTTTGTTTTCTCATTTTCTTTAGTTTCGGAACAACATCTTCAAGCTGCTTGTCGAGAAATTCTTGAGGAAGCTAAAAAAATGTACATTGGTAGTGCATTAAATGCTTGTAGTCCTCTAAATGGTGAATTAATTGAAAACGGATCAGATTATGAGAATAATGTTACAGCTCCGGTTACAAAGAAACGTCATCATGGTGATAAACGTCAATCTCACCCGCAAATCGCTTCAATTTTAGACTGTGAATCAGATTCAGAAAGTAATTCACAACATCATCTTCGTCCGCCTCCAATTAAACGGAAAAAATTGAAAGGTTCATCTGGGGTTGGAAAGGCTCGATCATCGGGTTTCGCCAATAGATTACACTTTAAAGGTAATTCTGGTTTCGATATTAGGAGAGAGGGACCTCGATGGGAATCAAATAGGTTAACCACTGAGACTAAATTTGTACTTGGATCAAAGGCCAACAAAGCTTTAGGTTTTGGTGCTACTCGAGGTCGTTTATATACCAAACACGCTGATCTTTTCCGTTATATTGGCGATCATGATGATAAACATTGGCTCCATGAACATGGGTTAATGCCACCGGCTGGAGGTAAAGCTTACCTGATAATTAAAGAAGATATTGAGAATCTATTAGAATCAGATGAATACCGAGGTGCACCCGGAGTCGACGGTAATTCCATGGGCTGTGGATTCACTGTACCAGAGGCAATGATCCTGAAAATGAGACGAACCATGGACGCGATGAAAAACGAAAGTGAAATGATGAGATCGTTGAATGAAGCTCGTAAACCTCATGTTATACCTCGAGTAACAATAGAACCCGAGCCAATTGGTGAAAATTGTGATGTCTCATCAGATGTGGCGAGTAACAATTCCAATGCTGGAGGTTTAGATGATTATGAGGTGGAAAATGAAAGTCGTGAACCCTCACCAGTCGTTCATCTTGATTATTTAAACTCAACTGTTGGTGTTTCATCAGCTAATGGATCACCTTTTTCATCCCTTTTACCAACCGATTTAAGTCCTAATCCTGAAATGTTAATCTCTCAACTACCCACTGACCTCAGTTTAACGTGAATTATTTAATGAAAACAAAACATTTATCATCTTATTTTCTAATTTAAATGATTTAATAAAATCGACAATTTAACTCTCAATTGGATGTGGCGCCTTTTTCCAACTTGTCAGATCTTTGGAAGAGCAAAAAAAGTAAACAAAACTTGAAACATTTCGGAAGCTTTTCAATCAATTGTTTCACTGATTTTCCATTGAATAAATTATCTTATTGGTAATTTATTTCTCTTCTCACAACAATTAGAACCACCAACATTCGAGCAGATTCTTAATTGTGAGCTTTCTGTTGATCAGAAGAGAAATTAACTGATTGAATCTTGTCCGTTTCTTTGCATCTCATTTTTTTTTGTTCCAATTTCTTGAAGATAAATTTTCTATTCTAATTGTTTTTTTTATTCGATTTATATTATTATTTTTAATTGTTCTTTGTGTTCGTTTATATGTAAAGATGGATTCTCGTGAACAAATGAATGCGACGATTCAATCAACTCTTCAATGGATTATCACCAATTACAATGTGAATGAAGAATCAATAGGAAAAAGTAAAAAGCTTCTTCATGGTTTAATTAATCAACTAGATGATCCTAAATTATCAATTCAAAGATTGTACCTGATTTATTCAATTTGTGAACAATTGGGTGATGATGAGGATAAAGCTGTTAATTTTTTAGCCACATTGTTTCCAGTTCCATTGAGAAAAAATCTTGCCTCTTTCATTGGACAAATGGTTTCACTGGCAATTGGCCTTAATAGTAAATCACTTCACAGCTTCAACAATTTACTTGGATAAAGAGCAAATTAAATTAAGTGATTACGATATTAAACAATTACCATTAAATCTGGCGGAAAGTAGTCCATCTTTTGCTGCTGTTCTAATTGACAAAGGTTTCTTCAATTCTAATCAAAGTTCAACCACATCAAATTCACCGGAAAGAAAATGATCTCAACCCATTTACTTACTAGATGGTTAATATCTCTAAATGAATGTAACAATCAAAAGATCATCTTTAATGGTCAACCTTTAATACGCTATTCACTTGTTGGTCAAGGAAAGGAAATTTGATTTACATTTTCACATTTTAGAATCAATTGAAAATAAGAAACTTCAACAATTATCAACACCATTTGTCATCGATATTGCAACTCTATTATCTAAACGTGGAGATGATGATTTAATTTCTAAATTTGCTCATGTATTAATTATCGGAGTTCAAAATGGTATTTGTAATGCACTTTCGTCTAATCAAATGCGTAACAAATTGATTGCTCTATTTCCAAACAATTTACTAATCAAAGCTTTGGTCAATATGAAGATTAAATAATCATGGACACAATCAAATCATCCAATCAAATTGAAACCTTTCACAATTGACACCATCTCAAGACAATCGATTATTTCACCTAATTGTTTCAACTACATGCATATTCATTATTTTTCTTTATTCTATTAATAATTCATTTGTTTAAATAATTAAAAAAAAAATAATTGAATAGAAATTGTTATCATAATGAACATTTCGATTGATTAAATTTCTTTTCCAATAGATGGCGTTAGTTGTTATTCTTTTTTTCTTATTATTGGTTCGTCTTTACACCGATAGAGGGAAAACTGAGAATTGTATTGAGTTTATATTTTTTTCTGGATTTAATTTCTAGGAATTGTAAGATAATTTTACTTTGACAATTAATTTAAATTAATTATATTGTTTAATTGTATCTCATTGTGTTTCTATTGTGTAAACAACTTGATATTATTTATATCGGATTAATCCAATTACTCGGTTAACATTTAAAAAGGTAAGTTTTGTTTTCCTTCTCTATGATTCCTCTTTTTTTTTCTTCTCTCCTTTTTCTCTTCATCTGTCTGCTTTTCTCTCTCTCTCTCTCTCTCTCTTTTCTCTTTTTGCTTGAGGAGGAGTTGAAAGTGTGTATGTTGTGTAAAGGGGAGAGAGTGAGAGGTGAAGAATAAGAGGAATAAGAAAAAAGATGAGAAAATTATGATGAAGATATGATTAGAATTTGTCAATTTTCTAGATGGAACAAATTTTTCTATTCTAATTTTGGTTAAATTTTGTTCGTTAAATCAATGACAGTTTTTGGTTAACATTCTACCGGCAACCAACTTGTTTTCTTTATCATTTTCCTTTCTCTCTCTTTCTCTCTTTTTCTAGTGAGATTTTTACCTTCACATTGAAACGGTTTGGGTTCCCTTTTGATACTATTTTCTCTAGAGTTAATATCTTTGTTTACTATTGCATTTGTACCTTTTTTTTCTCACATAAAATCATCTTCATCTTGGTAGACAATTTTGTTATGTTTAAAATGAATTTCTGCTCATTGAATAGTGAGAACAACTAATAGAAGCCATTTTATGATTTTCTCCAATTTCAAGATAGATAAGAGAGTCTGTTAGAGAATTTAGTGAGCCAAAATATTTACTCATTTTCTTATTTTTCCCCTTCTTTATCTAGATCATATATTCAACTAATTATCGGCTAATAACTTGTTAATGATAAAGAAATTTCTATTTTTTGGAGAATTGAAATTACATAATAGTCTATTCAGCCTTCCGATATTCATTTGAAAGATTTCATTGTGGTTAGACAGGAGGAGCTAATGAATTTGGGATCACTGATCTTTTCCTTTCCTGTGCTTGCTCTCTCTCTTTCTTTCTCTTTCTGCTTTTTTCAAATTCTCACTCTTCTCTTTCTATCTTTCTTATTCTCTCTCTTATATTCACCTATCTTCCATTATTATTGCTGAATGGCAGCCCCATTAATTGTTTGGTTTTTTGTCTCTTCTCATTACTCTCACTTCTCTCTCTCTCTCTTCTTTTTCCTTTCTTTTCCTATCTTTCTGCATCTCTTTCTTCATTCTCTTTCTAAATTTTTGTTTCTCTCTCTCACACACTCTCCATCTTTCTGTTTTTCTGTCTACAGGCTTAAGGAACAAGTTATTATTGCATTACCAATTTTTAATACATCACTACATTCTCAACCATCATTACTATTATTATTATTATTTATGGTATCAAATCAAATGTAAATTGTGGTAAATTGTAAATTGTCAATTTAATTATCATAATTTAATTGGATACATGGTTCTTAAAGAAAAACAGTTGATAATTTAAGGTGAAATATCTAATGTTTACATTGCCGGTCTTATTGTGTAAAATGTTTGTATGCTGGTTGAGTTGTTTATCAAACTGAAGGTATTGATTTCCCTATGTCAATGGGCGATTACCAATTACTTGGTGATGGTTTTGGTAAGTAGATTATCTGATTGGTTGCAATCAATTGTTATATGATAATGATGATGATTATGAGAATGATTATGAGAATGATTAAAACAATCTAATAATGTGTTGCATTCTCTAGGATACCATCCAGGTTATGCGCCAACTGGTAACCCATCAAATAATAATCCCGGAGGCCCGAACATGGAGCAACCCCCTGGACCAAATAACGCGGCAATGGCCGCAATGATGTCGTCAAGTGCCATCGGAGGTAGTCCTGGTTATGGAATGATTCCTCCACATGGTGAGTTTCTTTCTGTTTCTTAAATGTCACCATTTGAGTGACTATTGAGTTTGTCTATTAGATGAAATGAATGGATTACAATGGAATTTTTGTACTATAGAACAAAAGCTTATTATCCATTTAATTGGTTTCAATTTATATTCAACTGTCAGTCATTTGATGGATCAAAGAATAGAAATAGAAACAAATATCCAATGAAATGTTTTCTGTCAACTTTGCGAGGGATTTTTAATTCATTTTTTATTTTTTACTTTCTCCTTTTCACTTTTCACTTTTCACTTTATTCTCTCAGGTGCTCGTGGTCATGGGCTACCTCAAAGATCTTTGCCCCCTTTTGGTGCACCTTTACCTATGCCTCCAGGTTCAGTACCTTTGGGTGGTCTCGGTGATGCGATGAAAGTTCATGATCAGTATGCAAGTAGTGGTTTTCCTGGAGCAAGTTCACAATCGGCCATGAGAAGTGGTCACTATCCTCAGCATGATTCTCGTTATGGTCATCCTAGTAGTGGTTATCCAGGTGTTCCAATGGGAAGTGGTCCTGGTGGTCCATCATCTCTTGGACCAATGTCCCAACATAATGGAGGGATCGGTGTGCCTCAGTCCAGTTTAACATCGTTACCTGGTTCCAGTAGTTATCAAACTCGTGGTCTAATGAGTGGTTATAATGATCAAAGGATGTTGTCACCGATTCTAGGACCAGGTTCTGGGAGTCCATATCCAGGACCTTATCCTTCATCATACGGACCAATACCAACAGGAGGACCTGGTACAAGATTATGGCACAATCAAGGAATGAGTCATTTGCAACAGCGACCTCCTTATGGTTATAACACTAGTGGAGTGGGTCCACCACCTCCATCTTCACTCGGACCTCCAGGACAAACAAGTAGTTCTCGTAGTGGGCAAGGACCACCTCCATCTCCTTTCGGGCCTGGTGCCAGTGATTATGGCTCATTGCATTCACAGCAACCAACTAAGCAACCTCATCAGCCTCCAACACAACAACAACAACAGCAACAACAGTCATCACAACAGCAGCAGCAACAACAACAACAACAACAATCACAGTCACAAGCTCAACCCACGAGACCATATTACAGTACTAGCAGTGGAAGGTGGGAGCACAAAGTTCCTCATTGACTAGTTTCATTCCATCCGAACCTCCATCACCATATTTAACATCTTCTTATAGTCAAAATATAAGTGCATCACAAGGAAACTCAACATCATCCTCATCATCCAGTGGTAACAATGGTGGCCCTCGACAACCTCAATCTCAACCAGGACCACCTTCTCATTACACATCTTTAGGTTACCCTGGTCCTGGTCCTGGTCCTGGTTCTGGTCCAACGGGAAGTGGTGGTGGTGGCAGCGGGTCAACAAGTGGAGGAATGATTGGTTCATCAGGTTCTAGTAGTAGTAGTGTCCCTCCAGGGTCAGTTAATTACCCAGGACAGCAATATCAAGGATACAGTGTTAGTCAGGGGTATAGTGAGACTTCAAGTCGGCTTTCACCTTATACAATGAGCTCTGGGTCGACAGGA